GAATTTTGGTTCTAAACGATGTATAAATTGTGTATTTTTAGTATTAGAATTATTAACTTCTAGAATATAAATTGTGTTTCTAAGTCAAAACACATAACAGCTGTAGAAGGGAGTTTGTAAATACAATAGGATCATCAAATCCTAATCTGTTAATATTGTGTGACTGCAGTATTTAAAAAAAAAAACTTATAAATACAAATCAAGATAATTAATTAGATATATGTTAACATTGTGTGTTCGTAAATTGTAACATATAAATTGTAAATTTTTAAAAGATAAATTATGAATATTTAATAGTTAAATTGTGAACATTTAGATTCGTATTTGACGTTGGTCCACAGAATAATTTGCGCCAATTTGTTGTACATGCTACCACTCACTATATAAGTCAACAAATATGGTACAATAACGCAGTGAGGTTACAACATTATGCACGTGACTTGAGAAGCCTTTATTAGCATACATTTACACATTTCACGTGCAAAATCCTGCCTATTTTTACACTTTCTCATCGCCCTTCCTTTACTTTTCATTCATCGTGGATTCGTACGTGGTCCAGAGGAGCAGAGCATAGTTGAACAAGATTTTCATTTGTAATTTATTTTTCTCCTCTTTTTCTTTTTAAATTGAAATACAAAGTTCGAGAATCATTTGAAACAATTTGTGTTATTAATTAATACTAAAATATTAAATATTAACCTAAAAAACATCTAGAGTTTGAACAGTTTAGAGTTATTTTGTTTAAAATGATATCGTTTTGAGTGAAATAATTCATTTAAAAAATAAAGGAACAATAACTAATTAGTCGACTAGGCAACTTAGTCGCCTAAGTAAGAGACCTAGGTGGTCAGCGCCTAGGCGGCCACTTAGACTACCGATTATGGTGATACGCTAGGTAGCCAGCCAGAGCTTAACGTCTAGGCACCGATTATATGTTGATGATACTTGTCTAGATTTTGCAAAAGTTTCCAATTTGTCTAGTTTGAGATTAAAAAATTTCAAAAAAAAGTAAAAAATTCTAGGTTTCTTTTTATCTTTAAAATTCATTGTTTCTAACCAAAAAGGATTTGAGTCAAAAATTTATTTCCATACACAGAAAAATATGTGAATCCAACCTGTCGAACGACATTTTTCTGTGAACTGTTTGTTGCTTAGTCTGTGTAATGTCTGTTGCTTTATGATTATTACTGTGTTGAATTGTTGTTGTTTTTGTTATAAAAAGTCTGGGATAAAGAAGGTTAATAAAAAAGAACAATTTTTTATTAAAAAAAAAAAAAAAAAAAAAAGGTGAAAAGCACCATTTGGATCGGATCTGATATTGATCATTTGTCTTCTAGTCTGATATTTAATTGCAAACAAGTGCTCTTCATTGTGAGTTCCTATCTACTGTCTTCAATATAATTTGTTCCAAATATCTGCCTTTCTTTGAGTTGAAACACTTTAGGTTAAGTTTCTTGACTTAGTATTGAACTCCAAAAGAATTCAATGACAATACTTAGCTTGTTTTTACTAGAGTCATTTTTCGATTATAAGAGTGTTTTATTTTATTTAGGCACAAGGGTTAAATAGATTCATTTACTATTTACAAGTGTTCAATTAACCTATTGGTCTAAAATAAAAGTTAATTTGATATATAAACTTCTTAAAATTCTTGTATTTATCATTTTTTTTCCAAGTTACATCCTGTTTTGATGGCTTGCCGTCCGGTTAAGTTGATGTGGCTAGTAAAATATTTTTTTTTTCACATGGCGTCCAACAAAATAATATCTTTTTTTAAAAAATAAAAATTGAAAAAAAAAAAAACAAAAAGATCCCCAAAAGTCAATTTATTTTCGAAGCTTCCGAAGTCAGTGGGCCCAATTTGTATTTTGAATATGTAAAAAAGGAAAAAAAAAAACCCATCTTCGTAAGCCCTAAGCTTCATAATTCCCAATTTGTGACGACAAGGAGAATCATTTAAACAATGTAGCTTCGCAAGAATTCCCAGTCATAAATGATTGCAGAATTTGACGAGTAGAGAGTGACTTACCAATGATTTCGAAAAATGAATTGACGAGTAGAGACTGGATTGCAAAATTTACAAGAAGGTAAGTTTAGCTTCCTTTGTTGTGGTATGTTGTTTGCTTGGGCTATTTTTGTCAAAAAAAAAAAAAAAAAAAAAAAAAAAAAGCTTTAGAACTTTGGGAACATTACTTAATAAGTATCTCAAAGGTCAAAGCAAGTTCAATAGACGTTGGAATTGTGAGGCGGGCATAGTGAAGAGTATAAATAGCCCTCCTATTATATTATTTATTTTAGGCAAACAATTTTGATAGTAAATTCAAGAATATTGCTCTGATAATTTATTTTCCATGAGTTCTTAATGAGTATTTTCACTTATCTTAAGATTTAACTTCCAAGTGACGTCTAACTCCTATCTCCATCCTTGGAGTGGTGAGACTCACCACCACCAAACTTCTTTTCTCTGCACCCACTGTCTAGGGATAGCCCCCTCTTCTCTAGCCAAATCAATTCGTTTTTATGTTCCACATTAAACACACCCTAACCCTAGAAATTTGTTTCATTCTCTTAAGAGAGTTCAAGAATTTACTGGAGCTTCTTTAGGTTGTTCAAATCGATGCAGAAAATCTTCTTCACTTCAAAGGTCCACAACACTAATGTATTAAATATATAATTATTCCATGTTTTGTGAATTGAAAAAAACTCATGACTTTATATATATATATATATATATATATATATATATATATATATATATATATATATTCCATAGTACGGGTTTGAAGGTGTCTCATATAGTTAGGGTCTGCTCAAGACACCTCATGGTCTGATAAAAAAGAATGGTGCATTATGATTAATCACTGATATATAGCACATATATATCAATGATGTATCATATATATTCTCTATATACCTATCATGTATGTAACACAAAATGAGTAAATAGATTGCTAAAATCTAGTAAAATTCTAGGTCTTTTTCCTTATTTCTTCAAGTAGTTTAGCCAATAAGAATTAATATTGGAGTGTCTTCTTTGGTTCTTTATCAATTCGAATAACAAAGGAAGAGTGACAAATTAAAGACCCAAAATTTTCTCTGCATTTTTTTTTTTTTTTTTTTTTTTTGTGGATGAAAATTGTATAGTGTGAAAATATATAGAATGGGACTACACAAAGATTGATAAGGACTGTGTAGTAGTGCCAACACTATATTTGGTATTTTTAAAAATGTGTCCCCCACATTCATCTGGACTGGACACAACCAGTAATGATCAGATCACATCATGTGTTAGAGACTACATGAAAGAATTGACATTTTCCCAACCTTATATCACAAACAGACCTTTGCACATGGCGTTAACAACTATCTATGCCTAACCGACCTAAATAATTAAAATAAATTATTATACTCGGTAATACGTTATAATCAATAATTAAATAGACAAAATTAAAGATAAAGATGAACTAGATGCTTTTTTTTTTTTTTTTTTTTTTTTTTTTTTTAAGGATGAACTAGATGCTTTAATTTGGAGTAAATATTAATTTTGGTCTCACGAGTATTAGCAAAATGATAATTTTGGTTCACATATTTAATTTCTACTAATTTTCATCTACACCTATTGTTTTACTACTAATTTTTATCTACGACTATTGTTTTAGTGTCAAAATTTATCACGCCGGTCATTCATTCCTTTAAGACATGTTGAAATATGAGATTATGAAGAGTATTTTCATCCTTTTCAAATTAAGATCCCAAATTGAGCATCAATAATGGAATTTGATCAATCCCAATTCGCAGTTCTCCTTCTCAAATTAAGGTAAGATGAGGATGAGAATTGTGAATTGATATCGATCTTAGGACTTAAATCTATTTTGCATTGTAGACTCTGGTCCAAAACAACATTCAGATTGTGTGCTTGCAAATAACATATTACGTACATAATATGTACCTAACATATTATGTACATAATATGTACCTAACATATTATGTATTTTTAGTTAACAAATTATGTACCTATAAATAAGTTGTAGGCACATAATATGTTAACTGCAGGTACATAATTTATTAATGGGATAAGGGTCAAATAGGCCCTCAAAGTATAATCAAAAGAGCAATTAGACCCTCAATCTATAAAAAGTCCCAATTGAACCCTTCAACTTGTTAAATTAGTGCAATTTACCCATTTTACCTGTAACCTTCAGGTTAATGCTGACATAAGCAGCTACGTGGCAGCCATGTGGAATTTTTTTTTTTATATAGATTTTTTTAAAAAACCTACTTGTAAAGCTACAATGTTTATTATTATTTAATGTATATTATTATTATTATTATTATTATTATTATTATTATTATTATTATTATTAAAACTAAAGTTAAATAAGTAAAATAAAACACTAAACTAATTCAGTAATCCCTAATCCTAATTTCACACACAATACGTCTTCCATTTTGCGACTCACTGTTTGTATTAGGGAGAAAGGAAGAATTGGGATTAGGGAGAAAGATGGCCAAGTCGACGTACAGAATGTGTGAAATTAGGATTAGGGATTACTATATTACCTTAGGGTTTTATTTTAGTTATTTAGTTTTAGTTTTAATAATAATAATAATATATTAAATAATAATAAACACTATAGCTTTACAGGTAGATTTAAAAAAAAAATAAAAAAATTCACATGCATGGCTGCTTATGTCAGCATTAACCTGAAAGTTACAGGTAAAATGGATGAATTGCACTAGTTTAACAAGTTAAAGGGCTTAATTGAAGCTTTTTGTAAATTGAGGGTCTAATTGCTCTTTTGGTTATACTTTGAGGGTCTATATGACCCTTATCCCTTTATTAATTGCAAGTACATAATATATTAATGCATATAAATAATATGTGTTAACAGCAAACACATAATCTGAAGATTGTTTTGAATCTAAATCCACAATATAAGGTAGACCCTGATGGTATAATTGCTTTAGGAGGAAGTATATAAATATATATCTCTGAAGTAAACAACAAGGCCGGGCTAACATCATTTGATTCATTTCCAAGCTTTAGCTAGGCTAAGAGACTTATTAATAACCAATTCAAACATGGATGTGTGTTGGTTTTCTTAACAATAATGATTCGGCCCATCCCCACAAAGAGAATTTCAATTCCCTAAAAAATGGAGACCAAACAAACACTCAAAAGAAACAGAAAAACTTGGTTTAGTTTCTTCAGCTCCCTTATTATCCAGTTCACTTATTTATCATCCTTTTCTGCGGTGTCCACAACAGGCCCAGTGGATGATGGTATTTCATTATCATCAACAGTGTTTTTTGATGGATCTTTCAGAAATGGCACCCCACTTTTAGACACTGATTCTGGAATAGTGATGGGCTTTTGTACAGCAAGTTGTTTATTATTATCTTCAGATTTGTACTTGTACCAGGAAGCCATCAACAGATAAACTGCAAAGTTGATGGCACTAAGAATGGCCAAGAACCAGTAGAACAAGTTGAGTTTATTCAGGTCCAAATCATTACTCTCCAGCCACCCTCTCTTGCTGGACCCAACTTTTTTAGTAATGGCATTGATCACATCCACAAACACACTGCTCAAGAAGTACCCAAAGGAAAGAGAGATCCAAGTGAAAGAAGTGGAGAGAGATCTCATCCCAGACGGAGCTTCCTTGTAGAAGAACTCAAGCAGGCCAACTAAAGTGAACATGTCGGCAATCCCAAAGATGCCATACTGGAAACCAAGCCACAGGACATGAATGGGGTGCAAAGGGTCTTTCAGGGAGTGGCGCTTCCGCTTGACCTCCACGGCAGCGGCGACCGCCATGGAGACGACGGAGAGGACGAGGCCGACGCCGACGCGCTGGAGCTGGGTGATGCCGGAGGGGTGGCGGGTGAGGTTGCGGGCGAGGGGGACGAAGACGCGGTCGTATAAGGGGATGAGGAGGGTCATGAAGAGGAGGGGGATGACGGGGACGGAGGAGGGCGCCATTTTTATGGAGCCGAGTTGGAGGTCCATTCTGTAGCCTTGGAGGACGGAGAAGGTTTGGAGTTGGGCGAGGCAGGTGTTCATTAGTATGGTGCTGCCTATGATTGGGAGCATTCTTATCAGGACTTTCACTTCTTCTACTTGGGTCACTGTGCATATTGTCCATGGTGTTGCCTGTTGTGTTGTATTCTCTGCAACAATTGCTGCCTTGTCCAAGAATCTGTCACCCACCCAGAACAGAATTCAGGTTAGAATCAAACGTTTATCACTATGCTAAAAGTTATAGCTAATAGTCAAGTTAAGGTATTGGACTTGGCTTTTTACTTATTATCTGCGCCTAACAATCTCCCTAGTCACATGGTGTTGTGACTTGACCCTTACTGGCTTCCACCCAACAATTCCCCTCCTAGCACCAGCTAGAGATCAAGCCCTTATCACTATGCCAAAACTTGGAAAGACCTAACTTTATTTCTTTATACTATCACACATTTTTAGAATTAGGGTGCTAGACTTAGCTTGACCCTTTACCGACTTCCCCTCAACCATCTCCCTAACCATATGGTGTTGGACTTGGCCCTACTCCACATGGTACTATGGCTTGATCCTTACTGGCTTTGCCCAACAGTCCCCGTCCTATCAAGAGCCAGAGATATGTTTGTCATTATGTCAAATGTTATAGCTAGTAACTAATGCACAACTTTATGTTTTTATATCGTTACACATTAGCGAGCACCAGTATACTTGACTTGACCATTTATCAATCTCCAGCTACCAATTTTCCTAAACACATGGTGCTAGACTTGACCTTAACAGGTCTCCGCCCAACAAGATCACATACATCAAATTGGATGGCTGCCCTTGCTCAATATAATTTTTACGTACCTAAACTGGTCAGTGTGTGAAAGCTTTTCTTCTTCCACATAGCTGCTTGATCCTTTGTCCTCCATCTCATACAATTCACCATCATTTTCTGGTAATCTTAGCTTTCGATTCTTTATTGACACAACAATTACCTGAATGCAAACATATATACCCAAAAGTACGTACGTGCTCCTCCAATCCAAATAATACCATTATTATAATCACGTCATATGTCTCTAATACTATTTTTTAGGATGAAGTAGAGATGTCAATCTTAGCCCTAAATCAACTGGCTAGCCCAATAAACTCTAAAATTATAAGGTTAGGACCGAAAAAAATCAACTCAATAAAAAATAAAACTAATTAGACCGGTCCTATAGGGTCATCGGATTGAGTCGGGCTAACCCAACGGGCTGCATGTCGGGCCAAACCATTGGATTATGTATGTGTGTGCGCGGGCGCACGCATTAAACATAATTTTATCAACATTACCCCGTTCCAACTCGTCTACGTGGTAGGTAGATTTTTTTAAAAAATGCATCTCGCTCCATCGATTGTAGATACCCGCTCTTATTTTTCAATTTTTGTTTAGTGATTCAACCCGTTGAATCAGCCCAACAGCCCGCAATTTAAGGTTAGGGTCAACCTAACCCAAAAAGAAACAAAAATGAAAGAACATTTAGCCCGAGTCGATAAGCCCAGCAGTCCTGCATGACTAGTCCAAAATCCAACGGGTTGGCCCAATTGACATTTTTAAGATCTAGCATTTATGACTATGCCAAAAGCTAGCTATAGAGCTTGTAGGTAAAGCCCAAGCCCAACTTTATTTCTTTATATACCATCGATCACATTTTCAAAAGGCAGAATGCTACCGGGTTTGAACCTTCACCTACCTCCACCTAATGGCAAATTATGCCCTGGACCCGTGTCCACAATGAAATGTGGACACGGGCCCAAAACGACGTCGTTTTTCAAAAAAAACTCGTCATTTAGTTAAAAAAAAAAAAATCGCGCGCGTTTTGCTGTTAACGGCGTTATTTTTTTTTTTTTGGATTATGAATGTACAGTTATGCCGTTATGAATGTACAGTTATGCCATTATGAATGTACAATTATGCAATTATGAAATTATGTACACAGCGCTCTAACATTATGAACTTACAATTATGAACATATAGTGATAAAATTATGACCATGGAGCTTTAAAATTGTGAATATAGAGCTTCGAAGATTATGAATGTACAGTTATGGAGTTATGAATGTACAGTTATAGAGTTATGAATCTACAGTTATGGAGTTATGAATCTACAGTTATGAGATTATGAATCTATAGTTATGGAATTATGAATGTACAGTTATTGATCGAATTATGAACAAAGAGATCTGACATTATGAACATATAGTGATAAAATTATGAACATAGAGCTCTAAAATTGTGAACATAGAGCTTCGAAAATTATGAATGTACAGTTATGAAGTTATGAATGTACAGTTATGGAGTTATGAATGTACAATTATAGAGTTATGAACGTACAGTTATGAAGTTATGAATGTACAGTTATTAACATATAGTAATAAAATTATGAACATATACTTCTATAACGAAGCGGTTTGAAATTTATTAAAAAAAAAAAAAATGAGATAACAGTGTTAGCGTGTCCAGCATGCATGCTGGACACGGGTCCAACGCATAATGATTGCCACCTAATAGTCTCCTAGTTAGGCTGGACTTGGTCCTTTACTAGCCTCAACTCAAAAAAATAACAACAATATATAAGAAATACATATATATAACTCCAGAATCCTAGCTATCCTATGATAGATCTTCTTGGCTATATATGCAGCATGCATGCTATCATTATATATATTGCACTATTTAGAAGTTAGAAGGTGAGTGATGGGTATATATATATAAAATACCTGAATAATTCTCAAGAGCGGACCGCCGCCGGGAGTTTGGAGGCGGTAGAAGGGCTTTCCGGCGGCGAGGACGGCGAAACCGACGATAACACCAACGACGGAGATGAGAAAACCAACCCACCACCATCCCTTTTCGGTGGTGAGCCAGACAATGAAGGTGACGCCGATGGTGGCGCCGGCGGTGGTGCTGAACAAGAGATAGTTGAAGTAGCTTGCAAAGGCCTTGGCCTCTTTGGGATGTGTGTGGTCAAATTGGTCGGCGCCAAGTGCTGGGAGGGCACCCCTCACCCCACCAGACCCCAATGCCAATGCACAAAGGGAGACATAAAAGAGCAGTGCTTTGTTACCCTCCATGCAACTTCCCTTATTAATGCTACACACTTCTGGTTGTAGGCTTGTGAATCTTGCTTGGATTGTCATCAATATCAATGCCTAAATACATACACATCACAATCAACTTTAATTTGCATCACAATCCTCTTGTAAGTGAATTTTTATGAAATCGCTTCAAGGATCTTTATTATCCTGAGACAGGTCAGGTGAAGATAAAAATATAATATTAATTATGAATAAATAATTACAAGCATTTTATGATTTTTATTTCTGATTTGTATTATATTTTTCAATATAAGTATTATATTTTCATATTGACTGTCCATAGGAATGGATATGAAAGTGATTGTTGTTGTTTGGTTGATAGGTTTTTAGAACACTACTATGGATTTCGAATACCCCATAAATTGAAAAACTCATACCCAAATACAATAAGAGTTTCATTCCCTTATTCATTCTCAAGCACTACTATTAGTAACCATTCTCATTCCACCCTACTACCAAACATGTTAAATACTTTCACCAAAATCCATTACCATTACCAAGTATTTGATACCCATTCCGATTCCGATTCCTATGTGCGAACCAAACACACCCATAGTAGTTTTGATTGTCTAATTTATTATATGGATTTGACTTTAACATTTGGAGGTCTGTAGGCTAGTTGAGACACATCACGATTACCTCCACCCATGTTCTGGACAGAAGGGGTGAGAGACCTTGAAGTTTGGTGTCTAAACTTATAATTGTTTGATTTATACAAATGCATGTTTCCAAGGCACAACTCAACTGGTCAACCAAATCCATAAACCTTGCTTTGCAAGCAATCATGGGGTGTAGTAAAGGGTTTTCGGTCTCAAGTTATATGTTCATATACATATATTTATATGTGTGTGTATGGGGGGAGATGAAAGGTAGGGTGGTAAATTTTTATATATAATGTGTAAGTTAATAAATAAAATTACCAGAACTTCAAGTAGTCCGAAGATGAGAGATGTATGTAATCTATTGATATAAGTATCAGATATGAATCCGCCGACAATTGAGAGCAAGAAAGTTGAGCCCATGAAGTTTGTGAGTGTGTTTGATGCAGTTGGAATATCAAAATGCAGCTTCAGATGGAAGTACAATACCAAGCTCACCATGTTTGCTATAAATCCCATGTTGTCTAGTGCCGCCAGCACTGCACATACATTATATTAATTACACCATATATGCATCAAAACCCAACCCCATTATACATATATATATATATATTATTATTCCATAAATAAATAAATACCCCTACTCAAAAAAATACCTAATTAGGCTAGCTAGCTAGCTCCCGGAGATCACAACTATGTTTTTTTTTTTTTTTTTTTTTTTTTTTGTGTACCCAAAATTTTCACTGTCGGACACAGTGACTAATCCCATCACTGAATTGTAGGCACCTTTAGTAGCGAGGACAATTCACCTGAAGATTTAAGATTGCTCCATACTCAAAGTCGGAGATCACAACTATGTTTTTTTGGGTGTACCCAGAGTTTTCACTGTCGAACACAGTAACTAATCTCCTTGCTGAATAGTAATCATATCTAATTGGTGGGACAGCTAACCTGGAGATTTAAGATTGCTCCATACCTAAAGCTGGAGATCACAACTATATATGTTTTTTGGGTGTACCCAGAGTTTTCACTGTCGAACACAGTGAATAATCCCCTCGTTAAATTGTAAGCACCTCTAATAGGTGGGATAGCTGACCTGAAGATTTAAGATTGCTCCATACCTAAAGCCAAAGATCACAACTATGTTTTTTTGGGTATAGCCAGAGTTTTCACTGTCAAACACAATGACTAATCCCTTACAAATTGTAAACACCTAAAATAAGTGGGACAGCTGACCTGAAGATTTAAGAATACTCTATATCCAAATCCGAACATCACAACTATACTAGTACTTGGAAGAAAGAAAGAAAGAATTTTATAAGTAGCTTATTAATTTAATTAGCTTACCATATAGGAAAGAAGCAGCTTTAAATCCACCTTTTCCTTTTATTTGCCATGAGGTTAGAGCACTGTTGTGTGACTTAGCTGTCTCATCCTGTTCACATAATATAATATAATAAGCATATAATATATAAACATATATAAATGTTTAATTTTGATATCTTTAAACTTTTAGTTAAAATAAAATACATGCTTAAACTTAATATTAGAGTCAACCTCATGCCAAAGGTCATGAGTTTAAATCTCGCGAGACTAGATAAAAAGAAGTTCACAAAATTCGTCAATTATGAACTTAGATTTTTAACTGAAATGAAACACACATGCTTTAATTAACTTCACATGCACAAACTAACACGCAACAAATATATGTATATATGTATATATACTCACCATGCCGCCTGGATGGGGTTTGACGGTCAGATGATGATGAAGAGGAATCAACTAATAATAACTCACAATTTTGGTTTTGTATGACGATGATGATGATCACGTACGAGAATAGGCCGCCTATCTAGTTCCACTTATAATTAGTTAGTATAATATATATGTATGTACTAAGCTAATATAGTGCTACACATAGATTTGTTCGTAACGCCGGTGACATGAAAATCATCGAATTCTTGTTCTTATCATATATGCCTTTGCTTTATTCTCTTCTCTTTAATTTGATTGCTACGTTTCCATGTTCATGATGTTGATATATCGCACCCACCTAAAAATTGGTCTTAAAATTCTTTGATGTATATTGATGTTGTTTATAATTACTTTTTAATGAAAAATATATATTATTTATACCGTCTCATTTCACATTTTTTTCTTTAGGCTAAAATGTTATCCCGCACTATAAACTATATCGGATTGTTCATGTTGCACCATGGTCTTTCATAACATATATTTCGAGTCACTTACCATTAAATTTTTTTTTTCTTCTAGCATCTTTTATAGGTTTCCAGGTTACCACATCAGCTAATAACATGTGCCATGTCATCATAGCTGATGTGGTGACCTGGAAACCTGTAAAAAATGTTAAACGAAAAAAATTATTAATGGTAAGTTACTTGAAATATATGTTATGAAAGACAATGGTGCGACATGAACAATCCGATATAGTTCATGGTGTGAAATGACACTTTAGCCTTTTCTTTATGATTTAGCTTTTATTCGTTTTTTTTTTAATTTATTTAAAGCAGATATGATTTTAATTGGTAATTGTAATAAAAAATAAAATTATTATAATGTTCACTATTTTTTATTGAATAATCTTTACAATATTTATAATTTTTTGAAATGTTTATAATTAATATTTGATAAATAATATTCATTGATTTACGTGAAAGTCGATTCAAAAGTGTACTATAGGTGAAACTCGCCTTGTGACTCTACAAAATGGTAAAGCAATTCAGGTTGTTCATAGTTAACCGGTACAAACTAAGAAAGCCAATAAACTATTCTCACTGAAAGTTAAACTTGAAACCTTGTGAATATAGAATAGAGTTATACTACATAAACTCCCAAATCTTACCCCTAAAATTTTACTCACTGATATAGCGTACTCTGATAATTAAGCTACTTTTTTCATATGGGTCTTAATACAAATGTCTACATCAAAATTTTGTGTGTGAGTGTACAAATTGAGAGTAAGAAATAGGATTAGACATAATATTTTCCTAGAGAATAATATTGTGTGTTCAATGAAATGAGACCAAACTAGTCATCATACTATCCCAAATGCCAACTGTCTGTTCCCTAAGTCCTCAGGCCTCAGCCTTCTTGCTCGATTGCCTTTATCACACTCTGGTCATAAAATATATTTTGTCCAACCCAATAGGTTCCGTCTGTTCTCGTATCATATTATGTACGGAATTGAAAGTCATAAAACTAGAACAATTCAGACAAATTAGTTACACAATTGATTTGATAATTACAAGATTCTAAGTTTAATTTTTCGTGCGAGTAAACAAAAGAAATTCATAAAAGTGAGTATTTTGTCATTTTGAAAAAAATTTCTCCTCAAAAATTTCATACAACATTTTAGAAGCATTTTCTTAATTTAAAAATATTGAAAAATGCATTTCTAAAAAAGAAATTGGTAAACAATTAATATTTATATATATATAAAAATTACCTTCAAAAAAAATTTAAAAATACATACTTATACAGAGACTTTTTCTAATTTGAAGAACATAGAATAGATAATAGAAAACATAGGCAAAAACTTGTGTGGGATAGATTGGGTCAAGATGAAATGTAATATTTATACTAGCAAATGTAATACTAAATCAGGAATAAAATGTAATAAATGTTCATGTATAAGTGCAATATTACTTATAAGAAAAAATATAATATTTTTGATGAAAAGAGTAATACTTTTACATCAAAATATAAAAGCATTACATTTGTTTTCAAAAGTATGATGTTTTTCTTTTATAAGTAACAAAAATTTTATTTCTTATTTAGTACTCCCGCTGTCTCATTTTATATTTCCTACTTATTATTTATTGGTCAAACCAACTCTTTCTTCTTTGTTTTTTTTTTTTTTTTAATATTTTTTACTTATTTTTAAATTTGATTTTTTGTTTTTAATAGTATTTTTAGTATAGTTTCTAAATATATAAATTTTGTATACTAATACCAAACTTAATATTATGAAAAATTGGATTAAAAATAACTTCAGTCAAGTCTTGTTAACTGAACCAAACACATAAAATTGGACAGAATGAGTATTACATTTGCTAGTATAAGTGCTACATTTGCATATTGACCCAACCCGATCCATCTCACCGATAAGAATTCGTGATACGGTCTCACACAAATGTGACCCTTGAAGGATTGATGTGGGTATTTAGTAGCTAAGCAACTAAAAGAAATTAAATTAGAGTTAATGACTATATTAATTTTTCTCAATTTAATTCTAAACAACTTTTTGTGCTTAAATAAATCCTCAACTTTGATGGTTTACTCAATTGAGTCCGCATCGGTTAGAATCAAGGACTAAATCGAAAAAAAAAAAAATCACTACAATCGATGACTAAATTGGATAGAACTACTATAGTCAAAGACTAACTTTGGTAAAACCACTATAGTTGATGACTAAATTAGGTATTAATAAAGGTAAAATTACCAAGTTATCTTAACAGAGCGTTCAATTGAGTAAAACAATCAAAGTCCAGTTAAGCACAAAAAGTAAATCGAAAAAAAAAAACCAATATAGTCAAAGACTAAATTGGATATTAACTCAATTAAATTAAAACGCAACTCACAAAAGAATCTTTTAGGTTGGGAAAGAGCATGAACTTTTGTTTCATAGGTGGTGATCACTCTCTTGTTCTTCTTTGGAATCATCTGTTAATAAATAGCCTTCAGAAAAGGACCAATAATATTTTCATAGCTTTCAAATCCTTTGTCCCTTTCATCTCTTAATCATCTTGTTTCTTTGCAGTATCAGATTCTAAGATACAACGAACCACTGACAACTCACGTTTTGGACAATGTATACCATCAATAATAAAAGAATGATAAGTGCCCTTTTAATGAATAAAACTCTCACCACATGTTCACATTTTATTGAAATAAGATGATAAAATCAATAAAAATTGTGATTCACTTTTTCTTTCTTTAATTAATCAGAACATACCACTCTAGCCGAAAGTGAAAATGGGTAAAAAGTGGAATCACATATATGGTCTGTTTGGTAAATGATTATTAGCTGATTGGATTAATTAGAGAGTATAACTAGGTAATAACATTAGCTGATTGTAGAAAGGTGTTTGGTAAATTAGCGGTTAGCTAATAGCTGTTTGATATAATTTCTTTTCTCAAAAAGTTAATTAAAAAATTGTTTTAAATAGCTTTTTAAATTTTATCATTTTGGAGTACAAAAAGCTAATTAACTAAATACTTATATTGATTTTTAAACCAAATCAAACAATTAATAGTGGTCAAATAAGCCAAAATTGACTTATAGACTAACTATTTTACCAAACAGGGCCATAGTATTACTCATAATAAAATTAAAGTTAAGTACACATCCCTCAGAAATCAAAATAGGGAACCACTTTAGGACACCTTGATTATACTTCTTGGAATTTAGGGTTTAACATATGCACTAAACATTATATTTAAGTTGAACAAAACAATGCTATTTTATGATAGATATTGCAGTTCAGAATCTTTAACTTGTTGGCACAAGTTGATCAGAGCAAAGTTATTTTATGATATTGCACTTCAGAATCTCTAACTTGTTGGCACAACCATAGGTTCTTGCGGACAGTGTATCAAACCAAAATTATCGATTTATCTCTTAACGAGGTAAAGCAAAAACCATAGACAAAAAGAATATCCCTAAGAACGATAAGGTATACATGCATAGTGGTGATGAGTCTTGAAACGAGATTGTACCTTCAGTCAGAGTGTTCGTTACGGGTGGGTTCATAGAACCTACAGATAAAACTGAGCTACACTGGCCTCCACCAAGTTAACAAATTTCTTCTATCATGAGGGACTGACCTGGAGAAACAATGTTCTTCACAATCTGCACATACCAAGCACTAGTAATTCAAACTTTCTTTCTACAAGTTATTTGACACGTCTAACATGAAAGAAGCAAGATCTGACAATGGGTTTGTAAAAAGAACAAATAAAGAGGCGAAGCTTGGTGAATTTAAATTCTGAGTAAATTTTATTCTGTTGGATAGAACATTTTGCAAAAGCTGATTTCTTTATTAGATAGGTAACATTTCAAAACTTATGAGCAAGATAAATTTTCATATGTAAACTTCTTTTTTTTTTTTTTTTTGTTTAAATCGCTTCTCTCAGTTCTAGAAAACAGAAATTCCAGAAAGATGCCAAGCAAATTACGGAGCATCTTTAAAAAAAATTCATGTTTGCAGTTTGCTAGACCCAAATTTTGGGTTGGCACATTAAATGGATGTTATTTCCTAATGTTTAAAGAAGTCCACTGGGTTTATAATAATAATTTTAGCAACTGCAACACATGAATAAGAGGAAGCTCCTAGGAAAAGAATACCTTATTACATTGGATTAAATATATAATATGCTAGTTTCCTAAACAGAAAGTTTTGCAAAATAAGATGTCATGAGCAAAAAATCAACATACATTTTGAATTAGCAAAGGAGGATACCATAGCACTTTACCTGCCTCTGCACTATGATATCATGCACTGCAGCACATATCTTTCAGTAAACTACTTTTCATGTCTCCTTTTCTTCGAGTCAGAGATATGTAACATAAGCTGCAAAGAGATTCATATTTTTATAATCACAAACAAGGAGAGTTTAAAGCTAAATGAAGATGTTGATTTCAACACTAACCTTAGTACCAACATAAAATGTTACAAACATGCCAAATAGAACCGGCAGTCCTGCAAGACACGAAATTTCATAACCTGTCCCAATATCGCGTCTGTCAGAAGAAAGCTAGATAGTGATAGAAATCAACCTTCTTTCTGAAGGAACGCAGATGTTAGCCAGTTAATCCCTGATGGTCCTATCACAAAACCAACAAGATTGGCCACCTGCAAGAGCATTAT